TCGCACCTCGTAAGCTCGACCTCATCAGAACCCTGCTCTGTATTTAGCTCCCAGACATGAAGCTGCTACCAATCTGCCAGCTTCACACAAACAAAATATGTGGAATTAAACACCTGAAATTTTTCTTGCTTACCTGAAAATTATAGCACAGTTTAAACTTATCATCAATCAGTACCTCACTCAGACTATATATATATATTTTTTTCTAGAGCATAAAAATCTAATTTCCACTCCACTAGTCCAGCTTGTATAAAAATAAGCAGCTCATTATGAACCTAAATCTCCGATTTGGCTTGTCTTCGGTATTCCAAGTGCTCCGGCAGTTAAGCAAAGAGGAGTATTTACATTTCTCTCGCTCATTATTCCTGAAATGACCTCCAGAGCAAAATTAAGCCACACTCTATAACTCTGTGGGTCCATCCAAGGAGAAGTCCTTTTCACTGAGCAGAGCTGCTGTTTTCCATAGTATGTTTAATTAATGAACTGTTATTAACGATGGTTGCGGTGGAGCATGAGGGAAAGTAATGATTCTACTGCCAGTAATTATAACAGTGATAGGCCTGTTTATTATGATTAGTCTGTATAGGGCACAGGTTCCCTATTTGAGCTGTTCTTCATGGCTCGTCTTTAAAAAAAAAAGAAAATATATATATATATTCTTTTTTTTATTTTATTTTTTTAATTGTCACTTGCAGCTTAGTTATGACTTATTGTTGCAGAAGCTTAAGTGTGGCTCATGCTCTTTCTCTTTAGTGACACACTGTACATTTACTGTACATGCAGAACACGGAGGCTTACATCACGGAGCTCTGAGCCTAAACACAACAGTTCCTGGAAAAAAAAAAAAAAACAACAAACGGCAACAACAACAAATCACACAGATGCACATCATCCTCTGCTCTGCTGTACGACGTTAACACATTCCGCCTAAGGCTGACTATCACAACACGGTTACAAAACATTTTTATAGCACTTCTCCCTGCTTTATCCATCAAGATACAGCACGTAGTCTAAATCCGCTTTACATTTCAAATTCCCATTGTGATCAAACAACAAAAGGACGACACATTTGGGAATTAGTGTGAACTTTAGATGCCGGGGCAGCAAGACAAAACACGGCTATTGACTTTGTGGTGCGAGAAGACAAAAGGTCTTTTGTCCTCCGGAGCACAGCGATGCAAGGCACATTTTATCAGAGGTCTGTTTGTGTCATACACAGGTCACACCTGTCTGGCCTTTTGAAAGGACAAAACATTATGATTCCCATGGTCTTAAGCCAGTTAGTCAAGATTTATGAGGGTCATGGATGAATTTTCTCTCACAGTGGAGACACAACATGACTCTCAATCATACGTGGACGAGTCTCACGCCAGTCAGCTGACGGTGTGAGTTCCTGGTGTGAGTTTCCAATTCATTGTGAAAAGCAGCTACACTATCTCTTGATTAAATCGCCACCTTTACTCCTCGTTTCCAGCTCAGTGTTAGAAAAAAAATAATAAAATGTGGATTCTGTTTTAGAAAAATATTTCGCTTGAATTGATTTTCACATTCATCTTCCTCTATGATTAGGGGGGTAAAAAAAACAGACTTAATCACATGATTGCTCTCATCAGTTAAGTTCTCTGAGGACAGATGCTGAAACAGACGCTAAAACCTTTTCTGATTCCAGCTATTGTTCATATTCAAACTTATTCTTCCCCAACTAATGCAGGTAAACAACCCTGTGTGGAGCGTTGATGTGCTGCCACCTCACCTCCCCTGCAGCGTTAGAAATCTGAAACAAAGAGGTGTGATGTGTGACAATGTGTGAATCAAAAGATTACACTAATTTCTCTGAACCTTTCTCCCGTGCCGCCTTCAAAAAGCTTGTTTAGCTGCATAGCATGAAATAACCTTTTTTGTTTTTTGCTGCTGCTGTTTATCAGCTCTGCCATTTTAGCGAAGTTGTCTCACACTCCAGTGTCTTTTCCCCTTTTGTTACCCACCGTTCCCTCCCCTCTGTCTTTGCTGTCTGTCTTCGTTTAAAAGGGGCCATACCCACATAATGCCAAGGCCGGCGGTTTTGCTGGGAGCACCTGGTGAGTTAAAGGCTAGGCCAGGTGGTACACAGCTTTGACTGCCAATTAGAGCGGTGACCATGTGAGAGCTGCCCGAGATAACTTCTAATTAACAATGGACCTCCGAGGCATAACAATTAGCCTTTCCTTCAAATAAACCCACAGAAAAGGATGCATGTGGAGCCCACTGACAAAATCATTTTTTTCTCCTCCTTTCCGACTGGCAAATACGACCCTGCTGAAGACAAGAGAAGCAGCTAAACACATTCAGGATGTGTGCACTGTAAGCTGTATAGGTGAAGCTCAATTTTAGTTCAGAATGAAGGCATCTTTCCTGGCAAGGTCGCAGATGCTGTAGGCCTGTCAACGTGACTATAAGGAGGATAAAAGGGGCAGTCGACGCTTTACATTGATGATGACACTAAAGGAGAGATGCACACTCTCAGGCTAACCGATTGTACCAGAAAATGATTAGGACGGTGAAGGGGGACAATCTGCAGAGAACCGCAAAGGTTGACAACAAAATGATGAAAGTCAAGGACGCCGCATATGTCCATCAAAATGAAAAATAAAATGAGAGAAAAACTCTGGAGGATGTTGTGATATGAAGACGTATGGATGTGTAGCCCGGGAAGAAACATCTGCTGCATGGTACAGTACGGCTTTACATAATGCATCAGCTGTGGAGTCCCTATCTCTGCTGCTCCAACGACACCTGCCAATAAGCATTATCAAACAAGCAGTGGCAGATAAAAGCCACGCGGTAATTTGACAAGCCTAATTGCGGGACTGATGTGTAGTCTCGACGTCGCTGATTGCGCCTGGAAAAGATTACGGCAGCAATCACCGGATGACTTTCTTTGTTGTGGAGGGAGCCCATGTTTAAATTGTCATTTTGTAATCATCTGTGATAACCTCCCAAGTGGGAGAAAACGTAGCCAAGACAAAGTAGAAAATGCTGCTTTGTGAACGCTCACATACAGTAGATGCCATGTATTCTGCACATGTGCCCACAGTATAAGAAGTCTGCTCATGCTTGGGGGGGAAAAAGGGAATGGTGCTGAGGTGTTTCTTGGAAAATAGCCAGGACTGTTAAGTGGAAACAGAGGGCAAATCAAAAAGCCAGGGAGAAGTCCAAGGGGAATACTTTGAAGGGAAAAGACAGTGTGTGACTGAGTCGAAAGGCCTGAACAAAAGACACTAACTATTAGTGAAATATACTTGTACATGCGGCGGATGCATGCAGACCACCACTCGGGGGACTGGAAACATTTTTGCTGTTGCTGCTGCAGTCTCGGTCCCAGACCTTGTTGTAAAGCCACGTACTTAAAGGGCCTGATTGGGTCTGTGGTGAGCCACGGGGATTCCTCTGTCTGGAGCTGAGAGTCTGAATGCCAGAGCTGAATAACTGATTACAGTAAAGCCTGCGCTGTCTTAACTCAGCCTTCACGCCACGGCAGCTAAAGACCGGAGGAAATACCTCGCAGGAAAGATCTTAAAACTGGAAGCTGGGTCGTTAAAGAAACTCACACAAACTTTGAGCGAGCTGTTCGGCACCCTCGCTGAGTGCTATACATTTCTGTTCGCCGTGGCATGCTTTGAAGTGGAAACACCAGCAAAACTGCGACTGCAGTTTCATCAGACTTTTCCTTGCAGCATGTCTTCATCTGGCTGGCAGCTGGTGAGAGTTGCCATGATTCACTGTGACTCATTGCTTCTTCCATGCGCCATTGTTAAAAAGGAGCCCACAAAGGACTTTGGTTCAGAGGAATCACACTTCTTTTAAATTACAATATATGTACAGATGAAAAAGCGCTGAAGACTGTCTGAAGTGCATATTATCAGGATAACACACATTTCTCTTAAAATAGCTCCTCTATCTTATACAGTGTAACAAATGGCAATTGCTTATGGCAACTACAATTTCCAGATGTAATTGGGTTCCTTGATAATGGATGCCACCAAAGCACCCCATCTCCATCTCTGCCACCCTTCTTTCTAAATACTGCAGCGCGGTCCCCCAAGGTCACGCCATCCAATCTGATTGGAGACGTGATGAGGAACAGGCTGAGCTAATGTATTCTACTTGCTTATTATTTATAATGGCAAGGAGATTTCAGCAGAGAATTAACCAGCGTGCTGCAGACACCTTCAGTGGTAAATGAGGTGACACCTCAGACAAAATACACAACAGAGGGGATCATTACAAAACTCATAACCCTCAAAAAAACCGCCGGAGTTTACCAACACTGGGGTATTACACAGATAATGGCACACGGAGTGATTAATGTTTACAACAAATTAGAAAGATTTCTGTCAGAGGAGATTGTTGTTTTACTTAATGAGGCTGCTTCCAGGACACCAGGCAGCTACTGGGAAGTGTTCTGCACAGAGATATCTCCTCTCTGCACGTCTGCTGTGTAATCAACAGTTGCTCAAGCTTGGGCTTAACACAGCGGACGGTTGAAACAGCAGGTTTTTTTCATGTCAAACTGATAAGCACTGCATATGTTAGCCAGCAGCCCCCCACCAAAGAATCCAAAGCAGTCCTCCAGAGAGAAGAAGTTGCCTTTTCTCAACATGACAGAGAAAATACGCACAAGCCAGCTGATATCCACATCAAAAAAAAAAGAATCAATTATGAATTCTAGACACTAATAACTGCTCTTGTAAACATTGAGGGGGTGGTTTTAAATAAAAAAAATAGATAAATCACAATACAATAAAAAGCATCCTTTTGCTCTTTATGAAGCATCCAAGTCTTTATATTTCTGCAGTAGAAAGTTACAGTGCAACACTTGGTCAGCAGCACTTTAAGACTTTAAGCCTGCATGAGCGCCGCTCTGTTTAACGCACGCAGCTTTAAAGCTATAATTAGAATTTAAGATGACAACAGTGCAGCGTATAGAGTTAAAAAAGGACAGGTTGTGTCTCCATACTCACCCAAAGTCAGTCTCGAGCTGCGAGTGAAGTCCCGTTATTTGCGCAGCGGCGCGGAGGCAGCGGCAGCTCCACGGAGAGCGAAGAAGCGAGCAAATGAGCCCTGCCACAGCTTGAAGGGTCCAATTTAAGGGGAAAACAAGCTCCAAACTGGCAACCGCGCACCGCTGCCTGTTTGAATATGAAAACACCGGGAGGAGGTTCACTACTCCCCTCCTGGAACAAGAACATCCATGCGTTTGGGGTATTTTTTTTTTTCTTTCCGACAAGGAGGAGGATGGCTGGGAACAGTTTGCTGGCGTATGGGTGCACCGTTACTCGTTCCCAGGCAATGAGAGACATGCATTTTAATTCCTGAGCGCTGACCATGAGGGGCACCGCGCTGCTACGCCCCTCAGCATCCTCACTCACTCACATCAGCGGGTCGTGGTGTTCCTCTGTAGCTGTCGTGCTGCTGAAATGAACAATAAGCTATGTAGTGATAAAGAATTTATCTCATCCATTTATGGACAAACTTCATATTATTCTCCTTTACTGCAATTTCACACATCTTATATTATTTAACACAGCCTGGGAGTGACTGACAAGCTTAGATTGATGATATCTAACATTCTTTAGTGTCTCTGAGGAATAAACCTGTTTGTTTGATGTTTGATCCATTTTATGTCGATATTTGTAGACTTCCCCCCACAGGATTAATACATCTGTTTCCATAAGTGTAACTGACTAATAGGATGATAGAGGTGACCTGACTGCAGTGAGTCAAACGGGGTGAACTCACCCAAACTCAAGTCCGCTGAGCTTTAATAGCCTCAGGCCTGAGGAGACTTGTTGATCTGATTTGTGCCTTTGGCTGGATGACTGCTCACCTTCTCCCTGCTGAAGCCACTAAAATACAGACACCATTGCTCCTCTGCTCGGGTTCCTGTTTTTAAATGACAGTAACTAATTATTTCTGTCAGTCTTTATGAATTCAAAGAGTAAAGAAAATGTATTTTGGGGCTCGTAAATACTTCAAATTGTTCTCATGTCCCCTGAGTGTATAGAAACACATTACAAAGCTTAAAGACAAGTGAAAGTCAAGTTTTTTATCTGTTCATGTATTCCTATTGTGTTTTTTTCTACAGTGGAAGAGAGATCATGAGCGAAAAAAGCATTTGCTGAGCGTGTGCACCAAGAAGCTGCAGCGTACCGGAACAAGGTTTCAGACATCTGGAGTTTCATACATAACAAACCTATGGGACCAATCCTGTCAGTCTACAGAGTGGGTCTTTCTGTATCATTTAGTTTTCCACTGCAGGAACTTGCATGTTGTCTTAAGGCAGACCGAATCTTTGCGTGCGTTCTAACTGCAAGAACTGCCATGTAGAACCTTTTCCAGGGTTGTTTTTTTTTGGTTGGGGGTGACAACGACGACGACTACCTACTCCCAGATAAGTACTTCTGGACAAGGCCCTTAACCCTTCCTGCTCCAAAGGCATTGTACCATGGCTGACTCTGGGCTCTGGCCCCATCTGGGATATGAAAAAAAAAAAAACAACACTTCACATTGCTGTACTGTATTGATGACAATAAAGGCTTCTTCCTCAAATTCGGAGGTTAAATGCTAATTTAACGAGCGCTATACTTGTGCCCTCTAGGTGTCCTCTTCGAGTATCATTCTTCTCCTCTTTAATGCCACACT